CCTGCCCCTGCCCCTCCTGCAATGGCCCCTCCTGCTCCTGTCCCTCCTGCTCCTGCCCCTGCTCCTGCTCCTCCTGCCTACCTCCCTGTGCAGCCTGCCCCGACGTGGCCTGCCCCCCATGTGCAGGTCCACCCGCGCAGGAGCGTTCGCAAGGGCTACCCCTCCCAGGAGTAGCTCCTCCCCCTCCCAGTTCAATGTCTCCTCCCCCTCTGCCCCTTGTAAATAAAAACATACAAGTTTTTCTGCTGAAAACAAAACTGTGTTGGTGTTTATTGGGAGGGGAGGGGATGGGAGGGAGTTGTATGGGGAGACCGAGGCAACCCTACTACGGTGCCTGTGCGAACATGCCCATCAGGGCCTCTTGGATGCGCCACTCTGCTCCACAACGTTGTGGAGCATGCAGCACGCAGCCATTACCTCCGTTGAATTCCACTCACCCATCTCGAGACAGGTGAGCAAACAACGGAAGCGAGCAGGGAGGAGGCCCCCCCCACTCTGCTCCACAACGTTGTGGAGCATGCAGCACGCAGCCATTACCTCCGTTGAATTCCACTCACCCATCTCGAGACAGGTGAGCAAACAACGGAAGCGAGCTTTTAAGTGGCCGAAGGCGCACTCCACTTGATTCCGGGCCCGGTTGAGGTGGTCGTTGAACCTGGCCCGGTTCTGGTCCAGCCACCCTGTGTAGGGCCGCATTAGCCAGGGCAGCAGGGGGTAGGCCGCGTCCCCGATGATACAGATGGGCATAGGCATATCCCCGACAGTAAACTTCCTCCGGGGGAAGTAGGTGCCCGCCTCCGGCCTGCGAAACAGTCCGGAGTTGTGGAGGATGCGAGCGTAATGTGCCCTGCCAGACCAGCCCGCATAGACGTCCAGAAAGCGGCCACGGTGGTCCACGAGGGCCTGGAGAACAATCGAGCAGTACCCCTTCCTGTTCATGAAATGGGCTGCTCGATGCTCCGGGGCCAGGACGGGGACGTGGGTTGCATCCAGGGCTCCCCCACAGTTGGGGAACCCAAGGGCAGTGAAGCTGGCCAGCGTAGCTTCCACATCATGCAGGTGGATCATTCTCGGGAACAGGATATCGATGATGGCATGGATGATCTGCAGAAGGGTGCAGAGAAACACAGGGGAACACACCACATAAGGCAGGGGTGAGTGTGTGCTCCCTTGGCCCCCCCTATGATTCTCTCTGTCCTCACGCACACACACACACACACACAAACACGTGCACACACACCACAGCCCCCCTGCCGCAGGGCACCCTCCCCCCACCACCAGCAGGCCTGTGCAAGGGAGGGATGGCCAAAACCCCTGGGTGACCCAACCTGGAGTCTTGGCTGCCCCATGGCATGGAGTGCAGCACCCTCCCCACTCCCCCCAGGACTTATCTCCATCACGACGACACTGACGGTAGATCTGCCCACCCCGAACTGGTGTGCCTCTGATCGGTAGCTGTCCGGGGTGGCCAGCTTCCAAAGTGTGATGGCGACCCTCTTCTTGACGGGGATGGGAGTCCGCAGCCGGGTGGTGGCTCTCTGGAGCGCAGGGGCGAGCCAGGCACACTGCTCCAGGAACGTCCGCTTTCGCATGAGAAAGTTCCGGAGCCATTGCTGGTTGTCCCATTGCCCAAGGACCAGCCGGTCCCACCAGTCTGTACTGGTGTCCAGTCTCCAGAGTGGCCTCTCCACGGTGGGGTGGGGATGCCACAGGGATGCCATGGCCTTCCTGGTGAGGGAGTCCAAGGCGATCTGCGCCTCCTGGTCCTGGAACACGAGGGCACCAGCCTGGAGCACCAGCTGCAGGCACTCCAAAATGGCCGACAGGGGCCAGAGCAGGCACATGGCCACCCCTGGCTCCATGGCAGACAAAGCAAGGCGCAAGAAACCAAAACCAGGAAAAAGCAATTGGGGGCCAAAGGGTGGTGTCCAAAAGGCAGAGGGCAACCACCAAACCTGCTAGGAGCTGTCAGTCCCTGCAAGAGGTCCTAACACACGGAGCAGGAGACAAACGGCTGTCCAGGGAGATCCCTTTAAGCACGTGTCTGAACGGGGCTCCAGCCCCGCCCCCGGAAAGGGCTGGTTCCCTTTTGCCCTCTTCAAAATGGTTCTGGGCTTCTGCTTTTGCAAGGAGCTTTTGCACGAGGTTTTTCTGATACGTGTTTGAACATTTGTTGAGATTTCCCTCTTGACAACACAATCTGGACTGGGATACAACTGTACTGAGACACGTTGTGAATGAATGATAATCATATGCTGTTGCATGTGTTCGTAAGGGGTTTTGTTGTTTGTTTTTAATTGCTATGTTGACCTTTTTTCTTTTTTTTCTCCCGCCCCCCCAGTCCCCAGCTGCCCTGGCCTCTGAGAAGGATGCCACTTGCATCTCTGCACCAGCATTAGCACTTAAACTGCCAACCCCAATCCCACAGAAATCGTTTACATTGCAAGTAAGTGGATGACACCAACATTGTTTACTTAAAAGGCATTGTAGTCAGTCAGGATTTACTGCCATGGCATCCAAACAGGTCTCTAGCTCTGTCAGGGATGATAACCAGAAGGCTGCTTGCATGTGTGCTTGATGATGTGGGCCCAATGACCACCGCAGACCCCAAGAGGGCCCCTAAAGACCACAAATCAGATAAGGATCGAAGGTGCCAGGCCAGGTTTATTGTAAAGCCAAGTACAGTAGTAGTCATCAGTAGACTCTACTGAACCACCACACATATGTACTCACACAATGGCCTCAGCTCAAACAGTGGGAAACTCCCACTGCCCCCCACCTGGACAAAGACTGTCCCCCAAGACACCACTTTATATACAGGCACAAACAAGTTACACATCACTCCTGACATGTCAGGTTGCCACCCTCCGATGCTACTTAAATACCACCCATCACCCTGTACCTTGTGGTTTGACTAGATCAGGGCTACTCAACATGCGGTATGAGGCCGGCAGCCCGTTTGTTTACAGCCTGCGGTGCAGTTTGGATTTACGTGGGGCTCAACACGTGGCCCGTGGGTGGGAGCCAAAACAAAAAAGTAGCCAATATAATGGTCTTCTGTTGATGTGTTTTAGTAGTTAGATTCCTCGACTGTCATTGCTCACTAAAAGTGCTGTCGTATGGGTGGAAATCGGGGAAATGTTGCATTTTATTAATATCAGCAGAACTGACTTAAATGGGGCCTGCGTGTTGTGTAGTCTTGCCTTCATCTTTGTATTCATGCCCGTCAGTGTGAGAGAAGCTATTTCCATGTACATGCAACCACACTTAAGTTGTGGCCCTCGGCATGTGCTGTGAGTATCATTGTGGCCCCCGGGCCTTGCAAAGTTGAGTAGCCCTGGACTAGATCACCTCTAGCCATCATGCTGTCATTTTAGGCCCTTTCCTGAACCTGGGTCTGTATCTGTGAGGAGTGGGTACCAAGGTCTTTTTTAATGAGCTGGTGGTACCATGTGATTTCCACTTATGACCAGTACCAATGACTGTTTTACAGTTGGTACCTAGCACCAATTACTGGTGTACACCTGGGCCTATTACCAATTCGTGTTTTGCACTCTCAGCCCTGTTTGTGCCAAGTTCTGTGAGCAGGGGCCTGCCTCTTGCTCACAGCTTAGCTTTGCTTTTTAGCCATATTTTGTCCAGTTAGCTAGGCCTCAAACCAGGCCTATGCTGCACGGGCTTTTGTTTTAGGCCCTCATATTACTACAGGCATTTCCCCCCAATATTAGTTTACTTCCTTAAAAATATCCTTAAGACACTCAGAATAGTTGTATTAAACTGAAGGATTGGAGCAGAATCTCTTTGCCCTGTCCAAGAAGGAGCCTTACCCACTCCGCTTTCTTCTAAGATTTTTCCACTTGGCTCCTTCCTACCACTGTAGGTCTCCCAACTGTCTCTTCCCCTTCCCTACCTGACTTGGCTTTGGGACCTCAATAAATCACATGCACCCTCTGGCTTCTGACTCCTTACCTAGCTGCAGAGGCAATGCATTTCAGCAATTCATTTCTTCTTTTCTCACCTAACTTGGCCTACAAGTTGTCAGGAACAATATCCCTGATGATGCCACGGCACACCTAGTGGCTGAGCTGTGTGACTTTGTCCTCACCCACAACCGTTCTTGATTTGGGGACAATTTATACCTTCAAGTCAGCAGCACTGCTATGGGTACTTGCGTGGCCCCACAGTAAGCCAACTTTTTTTATGGCTGACCTAGAACACATTTTTCTCAGCTCCCATCCCCCAGTATCCCTCCTCTACTTCCACTAAATTGATGACATCTTCATCATATGGATCCATGGGAAGGAGACCCTTAAAGAATTCCAGAGGGATATCAACAATTTCCACCACACTATCAACCTCAGCCTGGACCAGTCCACATGAGATCCACTTCCTGGATACTACAGTACAAATAAATGATGGTCACATAAACACCACCCTATACCAGCAACCTCTCCTGACTGCTATTCTTACCTACGTGCCTCTAGCTTCCATCCAGGACACATCACACAATCCATTGTCTATAGCCAAGCTCTAAGATACAACCGTGTCTGCTGCAATCCCTCAGCTGGAGACAAACACCTACAAGATCTTTCTCGGGTAGTCTTAAAACTTAAAGCTTCAGGGGGTAGCCAAGTTAGTCTGTACAAGATAAACTTAAACAACAAATAGTCTGGTAGCACTTTAAAGACTAACAAAACATGTAGATGGTAGCATGAGCTTTCGTGGGCACAGCCCACTTCTTCAGATGACGGGAGTGTTGGATGTCCAGAACCAAAGATAAATAGGGAAGGGGAGGGGAAAGAGGCACTGGATAAATATCAAAGGGAAAGCCAAGCTAGTATGTAACAGGCAAAACTGAGAGTCTGTGAGTACCTAAAGACTGGATAGTTAAAAGGAGATAAGAGCCATTAGTTAGCAATTAGAAAGGAAGAGTACTAACACCAGATTCTACACAGACAAAGCACCATTGGAACCTTCATTGTTTGTTTGGTTGATAATATCCCAGCCATCCGGTATCTCAATTCAGACCATTGGCATGAGAATTAAACTTGTGAAGTGAATTAATTGTAGTTCCAACCCTTCCCTGTGTATTTGGCTTCTGGAATTGGTCTGTAACAAAACAGCAACTTGAAGATCTCTTAATGAGTGACCAGGCAGATTGAAGTGTTCACCAACAGGTTTCTGTATGTTTCATTTACTGATATCTGATTTGTGTCCATTGATTCTTTCCCATACGGACTGTCCAGTTTGTCCAGTATATATTGCAGTGGGGCTTTCCTGGCATAGATAACATTACTGGATGTACAGTTAAACAGGCCTCTGATTTGGTGGCATATGTGGTTGGCTCCAGTGATGAATTCACTTGTATAGATATGTGGGCAGAGTTGGCACCAGGGTTGATTGCACAGCTGAATTCCTGGATGCTTATGATATAGCTGTGTAGCACGGTTACCGGAAAGAATTTGTTTGGGAGGTTCTCTGTGAGTGAGATAGGCCTTTCCCCCAAGGTCTCAGAGCGAGGGATCATTTTCCAAGATAGGTTGTAGACCTGCCAAAGGTCCTGCCTGCTCTGCTCTGGCAGCAGCCTTTTGGGTGACCTGTTCCTTGGTCCAAGGAGCTGCTTTGGCAGGTGAGGCCGAGGGCATGGCAACTCATGCTGGGTACGGAGGAAGGACCCGGCCAGGTGTGGCCCCTGTTGAAAATGCAGCAAAGGAGCCAGGGGAATGCCATACCACAGGTCTCCCCAAGAAAGTGTCTCTGGCATGCGCCGGTGGCCCAGGCCCAGGTGCACTCCCTCAGCCTGCCACAAGCTGGTCTTGGCCATACTGCACCCCCAGACCTTTGGGGACAGCTTGGTTACACTGCATCCCAGTTATTTTCTCAGCTCTTTGGAGCAGCTGCTCTGTACTCTGGGCTCCCTGGGCAAAGCACAAGTGCAGCTTGACAAACTCTCTCACCGCCCTGTTTCCCCCACCCCCATGAGGTTGAAGCATCAGCACTGGCTTCCTGAGAGGGAAGTGGAAGGAGAGAAAACCCTGAGGCTCCCCGCTGTGTGAACAGCAGTATAAGGATGCACTTCAAGGAGGCTTTTCCTGCTGCTCAGCAGGGAATTGAGTGAGGGGGTCACTGGTGCAAGGTCTCTGTGGAGGTGGTGAGTGACAGGGCTTGGGGGGGTCAGGGGTCTCAGATGGGGGAGGGGAGCAAATCATTTTTGTCCATTATGAATATAGTACAGAAATGTAATCAGTGAAACAGTCAACTGAAAGCCTGCATTTTTATTCTTTAAAGTGTTCACTAGTGAGCTGCTCCCGTGTTCACTATATTCACTCACCCCCCTCTCTGTCCACTTCTGCATGAGAACTTGATGACGTTCAGAGAGCGGGGGAGTGTGATGTCATTCTGTTGCCTAGCAGGAAATTGTTTCTTATATATGTACAAAGGTCTGGGGGGGTGGAACTGATTGGCAGAAAATATGCAAATGAGATCACGACTCATGCAAATGAGTCCCTCATTAGCATATTTTTTGCCACAAAAACTGGTAGTGTAGACGTAGCCTTGATGATTGATGTATGTAATGTGCTTTCTTTAACAAACGTCCAGCTTATGTCAGGATGGGTCAACAAATCCTTCTGGACCCTCTGTCCTAACCAGTGGCGCTTCTGGAGCGGAGGGCCGGAGTGAAGACAAGATGGAGGCACCCTCAGGATACTTTTATAATCTTGCCCATGCAGAGGGAAAACCCATTCTTCTGCGTGCTGGTGCCTCCCAAAATAGGCTGATCACATGACCCGCAAACCAGTTTCTGTCCTTCTTAGGCAAGGAGCCATGGAGTCTCTCGGTGTCCTTCTCAGGCAAGGGGCCATTGTGTGCTCCTCGGGTGTCAATTGGCAACCCTTTAGCACCATTGTCCATGTAGTATCGAGCAACTGCCCCTCCCAGCAGAGAACATTTAAAATATAAATACAAAGTCCGTATTCATAACTTTACACACACAGGGTACATCTAGACTACATGGCTCTGTTGACGGAGCCATGTAGATTAGTTTACTCGACAAAGGGAAATGAAGCGGAGATTTAAATAATCGTCACTTCATTTAAATCAAAATGACCACTGCGCTGTGCCCTCTCTGTCTAGACAGGGATCTACCGACCCCAGAACCCTTTGTCGGCAGATCCTTTATGCCTCGTGAAACGAGGCCCACGTTTTGACCCCACCCCAGAACCTTTGGCGGTGGTGCACAAAATCCACTAACCCCGGAACCCCAGAAGAGTAAATCTGGCCTATGGGAAGCCCTGAACTTGAGTCCTCCCTGTCCCTCTGTCCTCCCCCCGCCATGGCTCAAGCATAATTATATAATGGTGCATTTCCGTTAGCAGCTGGTGGTCCACGGTAATGTTTGCATTGAGCCGGGTGGGTCACGGACCAAAAAGTTTGAGAACCACTGCT